CTTAGGAAACTTGCTCGTGAAAAAAAGGCGGCTTAGCCACGACAGGGCGACGACGCACGTGGTGCGGGACGTGGACACGCGTGTCCGCCGGAGAGAATGGGGGGAGAGAGAGATCTTTCCCAAGTAGTGGCGCCACTCTTGGTCGCGCGCGATATCGCGGAGTAACATTGAAATCGCGTATACCGATGAGAACAAACAATGTACCCCAAAGCGTCGAGGATGTTTATTTGTTAACCCGTTCGCTGTAGAACGTATAAAATCAAGGCGAGATTCTAGAAATAATATAATATGTGAAACAACGACACGAAATCGCAGTACTGACGAAATGATCCACCTTTGCGGGTAATTTTACAAAGCAATTTTACTGCTCGTTTGATCATCATCAAATAAACATGTTGTTTGAAAAACGACGCGGCACTCCGGATGGCCTCGCGCGCCCTTCGGGCGCAGCGATCGATGTACTTGACGATCCTTAGAACTCCGCGTGTCGCGTTCGTGGAGGAAGCGGCGCGTGTGTAGGCAGTAATCACTTGTCGACTTGCGTTTTAGCCGCATAATTTTCCGCGGTGCCCTCCCCTCCCCCTGACATCGGCGAGGACTTTAAAGTCGAGGTCGGCGCGGCGCCGGGTCTGAGTGCAGACAGCATTAAAGTGTTAATTACTAATTAAGAAGGGTGCACGCGCGCGGCGCAACATCAAGACCCTGCGCGACACCTTTTTGAACGCGCCCTCTGAATGGACGCTTACGCCCGAGCGGGCAAACGCGCCGTATAGTCGCTCATCCATCCGCGCCGCGCTCATCGACGCACGAGCGAGAAGACGCGACACGCATCTACCACGCGCGGCCACCCGCGCACGGACGCGCTCGCGCGCGAATTCTAACGCGCGGACGCTTAATATGCTCTCTCGTTACACGCACTTTCACGCCTCGTGACCTCCTGTCTCCTGTCTCGCGTCGCGCGACGATAAAGTAGAGCGTGAGCGCCGGTAGACGACGACGGCGGCAGTTCCTCTCGAATTCTTTAATGGCTTCTTCCGCCACTCGTAACCCGGCGATGCGGTTACGGCCGACGATTACTTTATCAGCTGACAACATTGCGGTTTATACGCGCAAAATGATCGTATGACGAATACCGACGCGTCGACTAGACGCGTTTATTAATTATTATTTCATGTAACTGCTGAGAACTTTGGCGGATATACATTATTGCGGTATAAATTATATGGATCGTCACGTTGAGAATTGTATGAAGAAAGGTCTCCTAGGGTCTTTCCTTTGCGGATTTTTGCCAATGGCCTCGAAGGTCTCTTCTAGCGTCTGTAAGGGGGAACGCCGTGGGAAAGTTTCGCCAAGAAAACCGTGATGGTTAGGGATTCAAACGTTCAGCGCGTCAAGTCGCGTCTTCGAGGGCTGCGGCGTTCGCTATTGTCGGATCGTCTACCGACTTGGTGTAACCGTTAAAGGGGGCTTGGCTGGCTGGTTCGGTGGCTTAAGAAGCACGTTCCTTGAATAGAGATCGAAAGGAGGGAGATTGTAAGGCGAGAAGACGCGCGCCGCAATGTGTATATTGGCAAACCGGCAGAAGGCGTACACGACTTCTCGCCACCGTCCGTGCCCGCCCTATTTCTTAAAGTCGCGATGCAAATCTTGTTCTCGCTTCGAATAAAATATGTCTCTTATTTCCATCCCTTTTTACATCTTTTACATTTAGATGGAAGATTTAAAAGATCGAGTTTTGATTTCCAAATTTCTCGTACGATATTCGGAGAGTCGGTCTCTTGTAAAAAAAAAAAAAAAGAAAATAGCATCTTCTCGTTGCAATAAAATATGATTTATCGCTACATAGAGTCTGCATTATACATTTCTAACAAGCTTCTCGCTCAACCTATGACAAATACAATGTTCAATTCATTGATTCTTCTTGTCCGAAAAGAAGCTAAATTTCGCGTATCGCGATATTTTCTAAAATACCGTGAAAATTATCGATTATTGTTTCCAATTTAATTTCCTCTCATCAGTACGTCGACCCGCATGCACTGTTTATCACGAATAGAATGATTACCGGGATGACGCGGTTGTAAAAAACACACTTCCGAGTGCTCGGGAGTTCCCTTTTTAATTGGTGCTTTCGCATATGCGGCGAGCAACGCATCATAAAAGCGGCGAGTTGAAAAAGCGACTGACAACGATGGAGATCGCGGTTGAAGGAGGCAAACGCGTCGACAAACGCCGTTAACCATTAACTGCTTCAATATGCGACACCTCCGTGTCCGTTTTGTCTAGCGCCCCTTCTGTTTCTCTCTCACGTTTAAGATAAAGTCATTTAAAAGAGTGAACCGTAATTCGTCCAATTAAATATCACATCTTTTAGATAAAATGCCTTAACCAAATTTACAAATATAAACATATAATAAGAAAGTCGAATGTGAATACAATTCGCTTTAAATTATCTTAATGAATGAGAAAATGAAACGAGAGATCAAATAGAAACGTTTGTTTCGAAAAATCTGCCACGTCGCGATCTCCACATGTTCTTCATTATCTTTTTGGCCGACGAAGCACATTGCAATTAAATACTAATAATAATTAGCGCCCTTGCAGAGATTCACGCCTTTCTCCCTTCTGCCTCTCCTTATCGATATTTCCTTTCCCGCTTTTTTCTCCTTTCTCTTTCTCTCTTTCTTTCCGCGCTTGAGAATCGTCCCGTTGCAACGGAGCGCAAGGAAACCCTGAAGAGAGCTTATTATTATCCTAATTATACAATACTATAATGAATGATCCCGTGGCTCACCCTCCAGCACACGCTCTCGCTCACTCACATTCGCTCGCTCGCTCTCGCCCTCACCCATCATCCACACTATCCATCTCTCCGTGTCTTTCCCTCTCGCCGACGCGACGGTTTCTCTCGCTCACCGTTGCTCTTATCCTCTGCACTTGGTGGTCGAAGAGTGGCAATTCTAGCACTCGGGCTTTTTGTCAAACAGACTACGGAACTAACGCCGTCTCCCTCGCGCCCTCGCGCACCCCATTATGCGTCCAGTCTCTCGTCCTCTCGTCCCGCTCTCTCTCTCTATGTCTCCGCGGGTGTCTGTTTTAATTAGGCACTTCGTAGATACGTGCATACGTGTGTCGCACGTATATGTATACGTACAAGCATCGCGTGTGCGCCAGGATGTACGACGTTAACGTAGGTACGTAAGCGACGCAGTCTACCACTACCTCCGCCACATTCCGCCTATACTCGGCGATCCGACGAGCTTGAATGCGGTCGATGGGTGGTTGAGTAAGGATTATAGGCGCAGGTAACACATGTATAGGGCGAAGTCGGCGGGGGGAGGGAGGGCGGCTCGCCGATGGGTGATGTCGGTGATGGTTCGAGGAGATGAAGAGGGACGGGATATGCGCGAAGGGATGATGGAGGAACTCCTCTTTCGATTCTTCTCGCGTGCATAACTTTCTCCGACTGACTGCTGATAAGAGCACGCGAAATTATCTTAATTGGCAGTAAAACCAATTCGGAATGATCGAACGAAGAGATTTCACCTCTCTCGTCTCCGCGCTCTCGTCTACTTGCCGTTTCTTTCTTTCCAGCGGTTTTGAATAGGGTGAACGTTGCGGAAGAACGCGTTGTTTTCTTCGGCAAGAGAAAAGTTTCCTGACCTTTCCCAATCTCCAAGCGTGATGGATAAAAACAATGTCTACCATGCTATGAAAAACGAACTAGTCAGGAGCTTCGTAAGCAAGAATTGGGAATTTATTTGAATGGCTTAACATTCTCGTTGAAAAATGTCTTACCAACTTAGATCGCTAAACATCCTATTGTCTATTTCCCGTTTTCTCTAGTAAATGAGATTCCAATCCGCCAGGCGGAAGCAATTTAAAAAATTGCTCTCAACGGAGCAGCTGCTTTGTCAAATATTCAGCGATGATGACTTGTACAAATTGCGCTCTCTTGTTGAAATCATTCTACTTCTGCATCCCTGGGGGATCCAGCTGACTATATTCTGCGTTACTTATTCTATGAAGACCGATGGTTTATCGAGATATATGTAAATATGGATATATATAATTTAAATTTTTTACTGACTATGAATCGTACAGCTTAATCTTTTCTTTTATTCCAACACTAATTCTAAAGAAAGGACAGCACATGCAGAAGTAAATGGTATTACAGACTGGAGATTTCACAAAAAAGCGTTTCAGAAGCTTGTAAACGGAATATTCGCAAGGACGCCAAATAACTGCGAAAAAAAATACGAAATCTGAACTTGGTATTAATAATTTCCCTCGGTGCACGCAGTGCATTCGTACTTTTCATATTTTTTCTTCTCCTTCCACGCACGTCATTTGCAAAGAGGGCTACCCTTCGCGTCTGCTTCCTCGTTCGAAAACTCGGATCGCCGTTCCTATATCAATTATACATCAATTAACGAGGCACGTTTGTTTTTCCGCATTAATTAATGAACGTAAAGGTAGGTAACTTGGGAACGATGGGATTTTTCCTGCCGCGGACCGAATATAGAAGGGGATTGCGTAATTTTGCGTTGATTATACGTCACTAGCTAGACCTGCGAAAGCATCGTGTCTTTAGTGTGGCCGATAGGTTTTTCATCGTCTCTTTGCGTCTGTCCGCTTAACGTCGAGGAGAGCTTCGCATAGGGCTCTCCATGTGCGTCGTCCCCTTCCTCCTTTTTTTTCATCTCCTTCCGCTTACGTCAGACCACTGTTAGCATCGATCTTTAATTAATTATCGATGACGCATTAGCGTTGTCGCTGTCTGTCGCGGAGAAGCCAGGCGAGACAAGAATCAGCCGCGATGACGTAGAAAGATTTATTATTAATTGTCACCTCGACGTATGCACATCGAACAGTATGCTTTATATATAAAGCTCATATTAATCCATCAAATCGTATTATATATACATATTCATATTGTATTGAATACACACCGCAGATTGATGAATTGTCTAACCACTGTGCACTTTTCTGTCTCGTTTCAGGGAGTTCTACTACATCCAAATGGAGAAATACGCGAGACAAGCAGTTTCGGAGGGCGTGAAGAACGCCGAGGATCTCCGAGTCGGTGGCGACTCCGAAATCTATCGGGTTCTCAACCTTCACTACAACCGTAATAACCACATTGAGGTATGGGGTCCCCAGGTGCGCAACACGAACACGCACACGCTGCATTTTATTTTATTTTCCGACCGATATTGTTTCGCGATTCGAGAAAAAGACGAGCATGTATATCTTCGCCAATATAGAGTGACGCCGGATCGTCGATCGATCGATTCGAAATTATAAGCTTTCGGTGTTAGTATCTATCGTACGTTTATATAAAATATTTCACGTGCGTCTTTGTGGTTCACTGTAACTATATAATTGTGTTTGCACGTTTTACTATAAAAAGTATATATGCGTGAGATATTTATTGCCTGTTTGAGTACCGAAATAAAATTCTACTTATAACATTGTTAATTGAAGGTGCACATGCCAGATAATTTATAATCCACCCTTTTAACAAAATAAACATATCAATCTCAACATTGGGAAAAATAAATTTACATTAGATTTCTCAATTTCTTAAATTGTAGACATTTCTGTTGCGGCCCTTCAATTAATAATTAATCAATAGTGCAATTAATAGTTGATTTAGCATTACTTTAATAAATTATGCAATATCATGCTTTTTTCGTATCATATAAAAATAGATAATTTTGAGTAAATGGAATTAAATATAAAAAGTACATATTGAGAACTTGCGAAAAGTTGTGAACTACATTTTTCATAAATTTCATCATCATTCGGAATGCCGCATGTCGTGACATTCAACGATGACGTTTCTTGTTGTAAAACTACCGTAAAGCCAATCTGTATTTCGCTAATAACGCACTTCGTACTGTATAATTGCGACGACTGCTAACGGTGGCGCGAAACTTTCAGGTACCCAGCAACTTCAGGTACGTTGTGGAGCAGACGCTGAAAGAATTTTTCAAAGCGATCCAAGGCGGCAAGGACTCCGAGCAAAGCTGGAAGAAGTCCATCTACAAGGTGATCTCGAGGTTGGACGACCCGGTGCCGGAGTACTTCAAGAGCCCGAACTTCCTGGAGCAGCTCGAATGAATCAGGAGGTCGCGTGGCTCTTGCTCTTCGTGGTGCGCGGGCTCGCCCGCGCTCGTCGGCTCCCGATAAATCAGGAAACGACCAACGAGGGAGGATCGCATCCGCCAGGAAGGTACACGTCCTTCGCGTAGTGCGTGTTCAGGTATCCTTAAATAACATATCGCAAAAACGAACGAGGGCTAGGAAGGGAGAGGAGACACGGACAAACCCAAAAGGAATAGAGGCACCATCGACGTCCTAGACGGGCGACGTCAAGATGCCAACGAAGGATCAGGCTGTGACCGAATCACGAATCAAACAGAAAAGACAGAAGAAACATATACGCGTACACATGTGCACACCAACACACACATACAGACATACGTCCATAAAAGAGAAAAAAAATACTGCGAATCTACGGCTGACGAAATTCGACAGTCACAAAGTGTCGAACGCTCATCGACGTTCCTCTTGTTTCAACTGAACGAGCACGAGAAGGTGATTCCTGGGACGAGACGAAGAAAGCACGACGAATGCGTGGTCAACGAACGGCGAGAAATAGCTTTTAGCGTCGATTTTGTCCGATCTGTTTGTAACGTAGAGTAATTACTTCGTTACCGCCTAATTTTACATCAGACGATAAGAATAGGGATTTTAAAGACGATAAACACTGCTGGGGTTGTACTCACGGAGAAAGATGAAGACTTTTCGGAACGTTTGCGAGCATATCCAAAGATTGATTAAGTCTGAACATCGCGCACGGCGATTCCCCTTCCGATTCGAACGAGACCCGGAAGTGGAATCCTCGTCAACTCGGGAAACGATGCAGGACGAGCGACTTTCTCGTCCTACACCGTTTCTGTAAAAAGGAAAGGAAAAACACTTGTGGATGAGGAGAAAACCTTGCGCGCTAAGTCTACTTCGGATAATCCTATACTTTGAACTCTGCAAGCAGCTTCGGTTTTTGCGAAGATCGATGCTCCCTGATAAAATTCTGAAAAACTTCTTATCGCAGAATGAATACCGCAAATGGCAATTCATACTTCGATAAAAAGGCACTCTTGCTGCAATCTGTAGCATGGCTTCTCTTCTTTCTTTCAGGAAAAGTAAAATCTCCAATGTATTAGTTAAAAGTATCGAGGTTCACCTCGATGCTTTCTCCATCACCAAGATTCAATATTTCCCTATAGAGATTGTACATAATTTCATTTCATTTCCGCATAATAACTGATCAACGAGGATTTGAGATCGACGTGAAAATGCTTGGCTATGAAATTACACTGCGCGTGAGAATCGGGAATAAGAAGCAGCGCGAGAGAAAAAAACGATCGTGCGCACATCGATACCAAAGAATCGACTTCGCGAGAATCAGATGCGTAACGTCGCAATGAGTAACCGCTCTTAGCGATTTCCGCACAAACAATCTGTTCCTATCTGCCGAGGAAGAGATTCCTCCGTTTTTTTTTTCGTTCTCCCGTATATATATTTTTTTCTTTTTTCCTTTCGCTCGCTGAGCATTACTTGTCGGGCCGATAAAAGAGTACGTTTGTCAAGAGTGCATAACGTTGGGAGGATCGGTGCACGGGTCAATATACATAGCTGTTTTTATTAATGGTTGATTGTATAAAACGAGATTAGGCTAGTCGTAGTGACGAGATTAGGAGTAGTACGGGCGACGAAGATGCAGGTCGGATGCAGCGTCTGTGCGAGGATCGTGCGCCGGCCGTATTCTAATTGTGTAGCGTTGCAAACCAAAAAAAGAGAAAAAGAAAAGAAAGAGAAAAGAGCGAAATGCTATATAATCGTGCGTCGACGCGATAATTATATAAATATTAGACTTCTAAAGCGAAAAAAGAGACGGATGCTGGCGTGATTAAAGTAGCGTAAAAAAAAGACGTGCGCCAGAGAGGGTTGCACAATCGCGCTTCCTTTTCTCCGTTTACATTAACCCCCCTCTCCCCCGACCCATCCTACGTACACGGACACACGCGACACGCATATAGCAGTCACTTACAAGTATTAACCCCTGCACCACGCGATTACGCGCGCGCGAATGTACGAGAAATTAGAGACAACGCCCCTATACTCTTACTTGTGACCTTTCTTTTCGCTAGAAATTTCTGTAGATACTTTACGAGATGGTATAAAAATATTAGGGATAATTTGAGTGGTAGCGGATGCACATAATTTAACTCTTATTTTTTCACCATTACTCTCGCTACTACGTGCACTATTATTATTATTACCATTATTATTATTATATTGCTATTATTATTGTATTATTATTATTATTATATTATTAATATATTATTATATTATTATTATTAGACTCACTATTATCTATATCAATATGACAATTTTAGCCTGAAATAATTATAATTATTAATATTATTATTGTCATCGTTGAAATTGTCATTTACGGAGAGAATTTAGTTAATTTAAAATTAACCCTATATAGCCTTTCTCCATATGCAATTTCCATGCCGCTCTTTCACGCTACCAATTTTTATCCTCTGATTTTCACAAGATCCTTTCCCGCCGACTACTTTGCCGTTCCCAATTTTGTCAAGCTTATTTATATCCCGTGCTTGACTACGCTCTATTTTTAGTTATTATGTATATTTAGTTATTATGATAATAATTATATTAAAATTATGCCCTCAGTAGTTTGTACCGGGCCATATACAAAAAAACACACACACATACACACACATCTTTTTGCAAGCGGTGAGTCTTAACCTAGTCACGAGTCACTATTTTTTAATTGATTAATGGTCGATTTATTGATTATTATTTTATTTATTAATTTACGACAATAAAAAGAGAGAAAATAAATTGAAATTTCATTTGCGTCTGATTTTGCGTAAATGTCATTTCACTTTTATTTCTGCATTGATTGTTCTACGATACCCTTTCCTTCATCGAGAGAAAATTCGAAAATCATTATATACGGTAAAAGGCAAAAAAGAAAGTCTTGATTTGGCATATTCAGAACGCTCTCGACTGCCTGCCAGATCTGTTTTTTTTCTTTTTTCTTCTTTTTTCGTAGGAAGACGTGAAACGACTCGAATGTACCACTCGTGAATTCGCGATCGGCGAGTTCAACGAGGATGGAAGCGAGTATCCTCTTTCGTCCGAACTAGAACACGCGTTGTAGAATGATAGAAGCGAGAACGAAATTTCGAAAATTTCAACTTTTTATTACGTAATGCACACTAGACTTTGGCCTAAAATTAGTAGCAACTCCTTCGGCACTGGCCTAAGATTTTGGTCTAAACGTTTATAACGTGAGACGAGAATAGGATGGCGGGCAAATAAAGAAGTGACATGGAAGGTATTTGGATGTTGTAAAAGAGGATTGTAGGGGATACGCGTTATCTCACCTCGCTGACTCGCTTGTCGCAATCCTGGAGTGGCTTGACATTCGTGTCAAGGCAATGGACGCAGGTAAAAAGTTATTCTTAGGCAATTTGTTATTAATATTATTATTATTACATTTAAGTAGAATTCTTTTTAACGCAATTTGTATTTTAAAAAATCGCGTATTTTCGGAAAGCAAACCTATAATATATTCAATAATCACTGATAAAACTTATTACGTTTTTTATTTGCTTTTATAATCAACTTGATTGTGGTTGCATTATTGAGATTATTTTAGTCAGATACATCCCATCCCTTTTGTCACCACGTATGATGATACATTAAAACGTCATTAAGAGGCTTTTGATTTAATAATACGCGAAAAATTGCAAAAGGTAATACTCGGAATTTAATTATAATAATAATATTTCGCATAATGATTGGTTTTTCACTAACAGAAAACAAATCAAGATATAATACATTCGAGTTTAATATTAAACGCAAAGATAACACTTAAAAAATTTAATTTAACGTTCCCTTCTCTATGAATCTTTAATGTACTTCGTGCATCATATAAGCTCCTTGATCCTACGAGCTTTGCGCTTTCACGTCGATACGCGTCAATAGCTTCTCAATTACCATTACTGATAACAATATACCACGTGATTTTTTTACGACAAATCTCTGCATTAAATACAATCTTGCTACATAGAGAATATACGCTACTTCAATATTAACGCCATCGATGAGACATAATTCGATATTAACTATCGTTCTCATTCTCTTTTCTTCGATCGCGCTGAATTTACGAGAATATAATTTTCGTAATTTCAGCGACGATCATACATCGGTGAAACATGCCTACGATCGTTTCCATTATCCTGAACAATGATCATTCCGCTCTTTTAAACATTATTCGCACTCAGAAAAAAAATAACTATCGCTGCAACATTAAATCGACGTTCTCTAAATCGCAACCGTGCTACAAGAAAATAGAAAAATTCAGAACTACGACAGGATTTTGATCTTCCTTGCTTTCGACAATTTAAAAAAAAAAACCGTAAATCACATATGTACGTATCACAATATGGATTAAATCAATTATTTCGATTCCGCACATTCTTCGCCACTGGAGTATGACCACAAGCTTTGGAAAGCGGTAAACAAAAAGAAAATAGCGTAATAATCTTCAAGGGCAAGCCGATTTTAAATCCCCCAGTCTCATCTTTATCAGCGGATAAGCTGATGAAACATCAGAGGAATTTTCGTATGGTCGGTTATTCGCAAACAGAAATCTGGGAATCAAAAACTATTACGACACATAAAATAACTCTCGCGTGATCCTTCGAGGTCATCTACGAATTTCAAAAAGTATAAGAATGAGAGTCCGCTTCTTTCATTTCTCCGTCGACCGAGAATCGAAGCTCCTAGCGCGAAGGACAAATCGTTCTAGATCTTACATAGCAGACGTACTCGAGCCACGAAGAAAGACTCGAGAAACTTCAGGAGAAAAAGTATCTGAACAATGGTAAAAATAAAACGAATAGCAGCCGGTGGTTCACCGCGTTCGCCAAAATTTCTCTCATCGATGGGAGAGAATCAGTCGCGTTCCTTACCTCCCGATCGATGGCTAACCGGTCCCGATCTATCCACGCGACATCGGGTCGCGGAACGGAAACTGGCGACGAGCGCAAAGAAAGGGACGAATTCGCAACGATTATACGGATGCGCGTACGTAATGAGAATGGAACGAAAACGTAAGAAGGGCAGACGGCGAGATCGACAAGATTGCAGGAGAAGGAGATGTGACGAAGAGACACCACATTCCCGAAGGACGAAGGCGAAGGATTAAACGAGTCGTTCACCTAACGAAACGAAGTAAATATTATAGGAAGTCTAATCGACTCGCCGTTTATATATTACATTTTATGCAGCGGGGCCGACGCACGGAGAAACGAGTACACGGGACAGAACGAAATTTAAAACGAGAACGAAAATACGAGAGAGAATGGAAGAAATAATAAGCATACGTACATACCTAAACGCGTAAGTTTTAAGGAACACGTAAACAGAAGTAAGTAATAGTATTTAACGTTAACACTTGCAAGCTATTAATTATTATATAAACGATTAACTAAAGATAAAAGACGAGCGGAAGGTCGTATCACGCTGCAGAGGAAAAGGATACCTACTTTAAAAAAAAACACACACACTAATAAACTAATTATTATTATATGATTATATTATTATTATTACGATCATTACTATCGAGTTTGAGATTAAGCCGTGATAACAAGAGAAATCAGTGAGAATGGGAGAGAGCGAAAGAGGTAAACCAGAGAGAAAGCGAAGGAGGCAGAGTGCGAATTCAAAGCGAATTCATTGAGAATAATAATTCCTCAAACTATTAGGAACATAATTAGGGTATATTTATTATGGCGAGTGCGCGATTACGATAGTGGCGCGGTAGTATACAGAGAGAAAGGTGGGAGATAAAATGGGGGGACTGAAAAAAAAAAAAATACGTTATCTCCCCCATGACGTTTCAGCGAGGCGGAAATCGCGTCTTTCGAATTTTCGCGCGCGCGATAGGAACGAAGTGGAGGAGCGAACCCGGGAGAACGACCGAATGTGAGAATGAGAGGGAGAGAATGGGGAAAGAGAGTGAGAGAGAGAGAAAGAGAGTTAGAATCTGTAAACTGAGAGCATGGAATTTAGAGCGTAAAAAAACTATGTTTCTATATGTGAGATCGCGTGCGTAAGCCAAAAGAAGAGAAAAAAGAAAAAAGAAACTGATTGTTGACACCGAGTGAGCAAACTTTGTGTGATAATCTCGTAGTACACGTAGCATGTTAAGTCTACACAATACGTTTGGTAGGGGATTAAAAAGGTGAGAGAGCGACTTTCGAAAAGTCGGGCAGGAGAAACGGGGGAGTAAAATCCGACCGAGGGAATCCGAGAGGTCTTCCGAGTCTCTACCTCCCAAAATGAATGTTTCTAAAATCGGTCGGGGGCCAATAAGTGGCCGCCTCCGGCGATCGACATATCACCGCGCGTATATGGATCGTTAATTCGTAATTCTAAGTTACAGGGTGCTCGAGACGTCGTCGACTACTCCGGCGTCTCGGTTTAACGTAGATGTACATTACGTTTCCTCGCTGAGCTTGCGAAAGCTTTACATTGTCTTTTAATCGATAATTTCGTGCAATCCCCCCCGACATTACGGTGCAAGACGAGAAACCGTCAACCGCTACGATTTTTTATTTACAGAACTACCGCGAGGACAGTCGATACTCCTGTCTCGCAACCGTTCTTAACTTTTTACGGCCCTCGTTATTTAAGCAAACGTTAAATCTTTGTGTCGAACTTTATTGAATAAATTATTAATTTTCAATTAATTATCAATTAATTAATTCAATAAATTTTCAATTAATTTTTAGTTAATTAATTCGATAAAAATTCGTTTTACGTTATATTACTCTTCTAAATATTTCATCAACGCATATTTCAGATTTAAAATTTTAAAATCATTAATAAAATCTTTCTGCTTCAACTTCAAACTCTCACGTTAGTTCATGGACCGTGAAAAGTTAACATCTTAATGATAACTCTGAACATTAATTTACAAAGCAGACGTCGGGAGGCTGTGCATACTCCAGCTCCCGCCTTAGCAGCAATTTAAATAACGCAACGAACAATTTACGTTTCTCGTCTTGAATCGAACGTCGATCGTCAGAAGTTTACGTCGCAATAATCTCGCTCAAGATTCAAGAGCGTCAAAAGAGAGCACCTCTCGGAAAATCCGTAACAGTCGGGCGTTTAGGGGGTGGGTGGGCGACGAGGGATGGAAGGGATGGCGGTTCATGGGAGAGAGATGGAAACCGACGAAATTGTGGATGGTGTAGAAGCGTGTAGGGAGCCAA